AATCTTAATGCAACTTCAAATTTCATTGTCATAGTTGCCGTCCTCTGTTAAAGCAGTTCTTACATATTTAAATTCCTGTTACTGATTGATTTCGCTACGTCTACTTTTGAATTCGATGTTGGATTGTTTGTTGCTGACAACCATATATTCTGTCGTCTTACGCTTGTGTTTACTCAAATATTGTCCGCTATCAAAGACTTCCAACAGCAGCAAAAACATAAATGGATAGCATATGTAACAAGAGGAAGAAACAAAGATGACATCAACCTGTTGGCTTTCCTAGCTACTTTAATCGAAAAGGTTTGTAAGGCAACTACTATCAGTATTAGAAATATTGATAACAGTTTCCAGAAAAAAATTGCTTTTACAAATAGGTTTTATGAATTTAAACCTAGAGTAATGCTATCTTTTCGGTCAATGAATGGCTAATATATTTGTATGGAAACTGATAATGTCACCATTCGTATTATAATATTAAGACACTATCTGATGCAAAGATGGTGTTTTTCTTTTCTTCGTTTAAACAGAAATATTTCGCTTCAGGTGAATTACAACGAAAGAGATATTATATTTAAAAACCAGCAGGAGTGCCACATTCTTACGTTGTTTCATAGCCTAGTAATTCCTTTAATTGTATGTCAGTGTGTGTTTTCTTTTTATGATCAATGGGAAAAAAAAAACATTTTCCCAATTATATGACAGAGAGGTTAAGCAGCAAAAAAAAAAAAAACTGAAAGAAAAAACAATAATAATAATAATAAAGAACTGATATATATATATATATATATATATATATATATATATATATATATATATATATATATATATATATATATATAAGGAGAAATGAGGCCTTGAAAAACATATCACTCATACGACACAAAAGATAAAATCTGACATTGTTAACAAAAAAGGGGACTTTTACTTAACATCATGAAGAACCAGTCGAAATTTCTAGGAGACATTATGAGGAAAAGGGGGTTGGAAATTTTGATACTCATAAGTCTATTTTAACGAATACGGGAAAGCAGCTTATAATCTACCTGACGAGTTTTAACGAATGCATTGTTTGTGGGAAATGACAAAGAGATAAAATGTCCTCCAAATTTCAGGAAGTTGTGGAGAGCCATAATCGCAAAAGTCTTAGTTAACGAATCCATTTCCCTTACCGATAACAGTTGAGCTACTGGCACTTCCGTTAAACTCATGGAGGCTAGAAAGGACAATAAAAGAACAGGTTTCAGTAAGACAGAAGATGGCGATAATGCACAAGGGGTTACTGGGGAATAAAAGAGAAGGAGAAGACTTTAGTGAGGAGGAAAGACAATAAGAGAACAGATTTCAGGAAGACAGAAGATGGTGATAATGCCACTAAACCTCAAGGGGTTACTGGGAGTGAAAGAGAATGAGAAGACTTTAATGAGGAGAAAGGACAATAAAAGAATAGGTTTCAGGAAGACAGAAGATGGTGATAATTACTGGGAGGAAAGAGAATGAAAAGACAGTAAAGAGAAAGGACAATAAAGAACAGTTTTCAGGAAGGAGTGAAAATGAAACGCAAGGGGTTAATGAAAAAGAAAAGACTTTAGTAAAGAGAAAGGACAATAAAAGAACAGGTTTCAGGAAGACAGAAGATGGCGATAATATCACTAAGACGCAAGGAGTTACTGGAAGAGAAAGAGATTATGTAGGATCCATTGATAAGTTTCCTGACAGGAAAGTTGGTCCATTGTGTCATGCCAGACAATTTCAATGTTGCACATTTATAAATCTCCAAATTAAAAAATGAATCGAACATTATTTCCATATTACATCTGCTGCTCCGATTGTACAGGTTGCGATGGATAAATTGTCCTCTAAATGACACAAAACTAACATGACAATTCATTTTAGCAGATATATTTACCTGAATTACACAAAAATATCTTGAGATACTAAACTGTAAACATATTCTATAAAATCGCCATTGACTTCAACCAAAGCCTCCTTCGGAATCTCCTGCTGCTCTTCTGGACGAATTAATAAATGCTGCCATAATCCCTGTCTTGCCTTCATCTTTGATGTTACAAGGAGTTTTGTTGGTCTTTCTCTCTCAAGTGCACCCGCACGCATAATAATCCAGGGATTTGCAGCCTGGGGAGTTAGGTGGCCAAATGTAAGAGGTGATGTGGTCGCAGAAATTGACTGATAGCCATGACTAGGTTCTTCTGTAGCATGGTGCGGAGTCCTGTGACCAGACATAGGGCCTTCCAGCAGCCACCCTTTTGACCCAGGGTAGCACTACCTCCTCAAGGCACTTGATGTAGGAGACTGTGTTGAGCCTAGGTCCCACATTAAAGAGTTAGTTTCTTATCAGAACAATCAGAGGGAGTTTTCCGAGCTGCCGCACTTTCGTAATCACCATTAGACTCATCCAATTCTCTCTAAATCCTATGCACTCTCCTCAGATTGACACCCAAACTCGCTGAAATGTTCGTATTGGAGCCTTTGTCTCGAACGCCAAGCATGCCATTTCGAAATTTCTGCCGGAGTGAATTGCGTCATAGTGTTCGTTTTGTCACAGACGGCGCCCAACTGACCTTAATATACTGTGCGGTTGACAAAATCAAAAACAAACCACCTGCAAGAAATTAAAAATATATAAAATGCGACAATTTACCAATCGCACGCTATATCTGCGTTCTATTTGAAGTCTG